GGGGCAAAAAGAAGCGCGTACGCGCGCGCGCACGCTCTTGGAGCGCAACGAAAAAGAAAAAGAAAAAAAGAACGAATAAGTAGATGCTGTCCCGTAGTCGGTAATCTGCGGTCGCCGGGAAAGAAAACGAAACGTGTGTGCAACTGTGCGAATCCGATGCAACAAGGTCAAGCGCGCCACAAGAGAGACGGTTTCCGCGTTGCGCAATCGGTTACGGTATCGTTCGGCGATATTACAGTAATGTCGCTCTAATTGACGATCAGATTGCTCACGAAAATGGACAATTTTGGAAGAGAAGATACGATTGTTCGAGCCTTGTGACTCATTTTTATAATTGTGGACAATTTATTGCAATGTAATTGCAAGGCTCGAATAATCGTATCTCCTCTTCCTAAATTGTCCATTTTTGTATACAAGCTGAAAGAAAATTAGGGAGAATTTACTGTAGATATTTATTAATTAATTTAGATTTATATTTAGATATTTATCATTAATATTTATTAATTAATTTACTGTTATGATATTGCTATTTTCATAGTTACTAAGGTAAATGAAAAGAAAATACAGTAAATTCTCTCCAATTGTCCCACAGCTTTTAAACAAAAATGGACAATTTCAGAAGAGTAGATAGGATTATTCGAGACCCGCGACTCGTTTTTATAATTACCAATTTTCAACAATTATAAAGACGAGAGGCAAGGGTCAAATAATCGTATTTCCTCTTCCAAAATTGTCTATTTTTGTATACAAGCTGAAGGAAAATTAGGGAGAATTTACTGTATATATTATATAATTTAATAGCATTTAATAGCAATTTAATTTGTAGTAATTCGATATTATGTAAGCTCATACAATTAACGAAATAGGACGTATAATAATTTCATTGCCGATTTTCAACGTTAAAGCAATAATTTCAATGTGATATGATATTACTATTTTCATAGTTAGTAATATAAATGAAAAGAAAATACAGTAAATTCTTCCCAATTGCCCCACAGCTTAAAAAAAACAAATATGGACAATTTGGGAAGAGAAAATACGATTATTCGAGACTCGCGACAAGTTTTTATAATTACCAATTTTCAACAATTATAAAGACGAGAGGCAAGGATCAAATAATCGTATTTCCTCTTCCCAAATTGTCTATTTTTGTATAAAAGCTGAAGGAAAATTAGGGTGTATTTTCTGAATATATTATATAATTTAATAGCATTTAATAGCAATTTTATTTGTAGTAATTCGATATTATATAAGCTCATACGATTAACGAAATAGGGCCTATAATAATTTCATTACCGATTTTCAACGATAAAGCAACGATTTCAATGTGATATGATATTACTTTCTTCATAGTTACTAATATAAATGAAAAGAAAATACAGTAAATTCTCTCCAATTGTCCCACAGCTTCCAAACAAAAATGGACAATTCGGGAAGAGGAGATACGATTGTTCGAGCCTTGTTGCTCGTGTGGTTATCGATTGTCAACAACTATAAAAACGTTTTTATAATTGTGGTCGATTTATAATTGCAAAAATAAACCGAAAGGCTCGAATAATCGTATCTCCGCTTCCCGAATTGTCCATTTTCGTGGTAAATCTGGGCGTCAATTAGAGAGACATTACTGTATACAGCGTCGAAATCGAACGGGAAAGAGGCGCGCGAGACAGAGAGGGCTGCGATCCGGCCAAAAATTTCCGCGGAACGACTAAAAATATAATTCTCATTATTTGACGAGCGGCCAGCACGCGGTGAATCGACCGCCAAAGCGAGTCCTTGGTGTCGGGATCGAAAACTGGCGAGAACACGGTAACGAGGCGAGTCGTTAGCGTGGAGGAACGACGGCGGTTTTGGCAACGGGGACCGCGTAACAGGTGTTTTTAGACGGCCGGTGGGAATTCTGACCGCGATTGTTTGTCCCGTCGTGCGGCGTATCGAGGAGGCTCGATAAGGCTCGTACATAGGTAACGATGATGACTGATATTTTTTTTTGCTCGGGCGGGTTATCTTATCATGTTTACCAACAGACCACGAGCTGAGTAAGGAAGGACGGACGTCGAGAGAAAGTTTGATGGAAGACGGGCGCCGAGGCGAGACTGTGCGGCCCGCGTCGACGCCGCGGTCGATACGCGAGATTACTATGGCAATCCGGCGAACGAGCTTTCATGTCAACACGAGAGCTAAGATTCGTCGGAATTCCCGATTCTCGCGGTGGATTACTGTCGCAGTCGCGCGTGATGTTGATCATGTTTTGGCTTTGTTTAATGAACAGCGTTCGGGCGTATCGCGTCGCGGATAGGAATAATACAATAATTTTTTCCTAATTCGCGCTCAGATTGCGCACGAAAATGGACAATTTGGGAAGAGGAAACGCGATTTTTATAGTTAAGAATTGTCGATAACTATAAAAAGACTCGAATAATCGTATTTTTTCTTCTTAAACTGTCTATTTTTGTATACAAACTGAAGGGAAATTAGGCAGAATTTTCTGAATATATTATATAATTTAGTAGCATTTAATAGCAACTTAATTTGTAGTAATTCAATATTGTATAGCTGATACTATTAATGAAATAGTATAGTAGTATTACTAGTGTACTAGTATTATTCTAATTTCATAGTTACTAATGTAAATGAAAAGAAAATACAGTAAATTCTCTCCAATTGTTCCTCAGCTTCGAAATAAAAATGAACAATTTCAGAAGAGTAGATACGATTATTCGAGACTCGCGACTCGTTTTTATAATTACCAATTTTCGACAATTATAAAGACGGGAGGCAAGGGTCAAATAATCGTATTTCCTCTTCCAAAATTGTCTATTTTTGTATGCAAGCTAAAGGAAAATTAGGGAGAATTTACTGTATATTTTATATAATTTAATAGCATTTATAATAGCAATTTAATTTATAGTAATTCGATATTATATAAGCTCATACGATTAACGAAATAGGACCTATAATAATTTCATTACCGATTTTCAACGTTAAAGCAATGATTTCAATGTGATATGATAATACTTTCTTCATAGTTACTAACATAAATGAAAAGAGAACACAGTAAATTCTCTCCAATTGTCCCTCAGCTTCGAAACAAAAATGAACAATTTCAGAAGAGTAGATACGATTATTCGAGACTCACGACTCGTTTTTATAATTACCAATTTTCAACAATTATAAAAAAGAGGTGCAAGACTCGAATAATCGTATTTCCCCTTTTTAAATTGTCTATTTTTGTATGCAAGCTAAAGGAAAATTAGGGAGAATTTACTGTATATTTTATATAATTTAATAGCATTTATAATAGCAATTTAATTTATAGTAATTCGATATTATATAAGCTCATACGATTAACGAAATAGGACCTATAATAATTTCATTACCGATTTTCAACGTTAAAGCAATGATTTCAATGTGATATGATAATACTTTCTTCATAGTTACTAACATAAATGAAAAGAGAACACAGTAAATTCTCTCCAATTGTCCCTCAGCTTCGAAACAAAAATGAACAATTTCAGAAGAGTAGATACGATTATTCGAGACTCACGACTCGTTTTTATAATTACCAATTTTCAACAATTATAAAAAAGAGGTGCAAGACTCGAATAATCGTATTTCCCCTTTTTAAATTGTCTATTTTTGTATGCAAGCTAAAGGAAAATTAGGGAGAATTTACTGTATATTTTATATAATTAAATAGCATTTAATAGCAATTTAATTTGTAGTCGTTCAATATTGTATAGCTCATACGATTAATGAAATGGGGCCCATATATTATCATTACCGATTTTCAACGATAAAGCAACGATTTCAATGTGTTATGATATTACTATGTTCATAGTTATTAACATAAATGAAAAGAAAACACAATAAATTCTCTCCAATTGTCCCTCAGCTTCCAAACAAAAATGGACAATTCCAGAAAGGAACAAAATCGTCCATTATTGTTAGCAATCTGAGCGCGAATCAGGGAGAAATTATTATACACCAACGATCGTAAAAGGTGTCGATCGTTTCTCTTTTCCACAGAGATCTTGTAACGATTAATAAAAAAGCAACGACGTAGATCACGATCAGCTGTTTCCAGAACTGAAGGTTCAACGAAGTCGCTCGTAAACTGTACGCATGGCGAGGGTCGGGATGGAGGGGGATAAAGAATTTATTGAGAAATGACGTAACTTCTGGCTTTATAATTAACGCTCTTGCGTAAAGCAGAAGCTTATCTGGCTCGCCGGAATTCCTAAATATAGAATCTTGATAAATAAAGAAGCACCTTATTTTAAGCGTCGGATTTTTATATCGCGTTGCGACAAAAACGACGAGCAGACGACGACAGTGAAAAGACAGTCACACAGTTACAGAAATTAGAGAACGCACGAACAAACGGACGAAGCGAATCGATGGTAACTGGACGTTCCACGGAAGGTACAGGGTGAGATATCGCGAGGCGCGTCGCCGACGATTAGGAGGCGAAGCCGCGGGAGAACAGCGTTTCCAAGCGTTATTAACCCTTTGCACGGAGTGGTCGCGAAACGAAAGCGAAACAGAAAAAAGAAAAATGAAACATAAATGGTGATCGTCACGAGCCAAGGATTCGTTGTCACAACTTTATTCACGTACAACAAGTTACATACTGGTACAAAACGCGGGAAGTGCAACTGTTCGATGGGACAAACCGCTGCATCGATTATTGAGAAGGTACTTGATATCTACACACTAAATGATTTGCACAGCTCCGGAAACGATACAGGCGATTATTTCGCGTGAACGGGTGTCATCCCCAATGGTCCCATTCGCCTAAGCAACGCGGAAAGCAACGGGAGCCTGTACTCTTTTTAATGATTTTTTTCTCTGTCTCTATGTGCGATGACAGAGAGACCGATGGGGGGGTCTCTGTCGCGTTCTCTACCGGGTGCAGGGTGCATCGAGGATTCGGTCCAAGTGTGCAAAGGGTTATCCCTATATTTTCCATTCAGCCGAAATCACGAGGCAATCCGTACCGACGCTCATTTGCCTGGCGTTGCCTGCCCTGGCCTGCTCGACCAGTTCTTTGTACACGGCGTCCAACGGGTGCTCCCAGGTGGTGGTTCCGGTGGAAGTCTGGTAGTAGTACCAAGCTCCAGTCGACTCCACGAGGCATGGCCGCCAACCCTTCGGCAAGGCCGCCATGAGGCCTTCCCGGGCCAGGTCCATGAGGTGCGGCTCCGCATCGGGGTCAATTCCCAAGTGCCTCGCATAGTCGAGCACCTCTGAAAAAGCAATCGCGCGCTCCATTAGTTAATTACCAGATGACTGCTCTGCCACGGTATCACGGGCGACCGGGCAGAGAGGCGTGTCATCGGCGAAATTTAAGGAATTACGATCAGTCGGGAGGGCGATATGATTTCTCACGATTTTCTCCTCGATGCTGTGATACTTCACTTGGACAATGCTTTCGAGTTTCAAAAGGTTTTTGATTCCAGCTTCCAGTGTTATGTGAGACATTATTTTTGTCGTTGAAATATATTTGTTGATTGTAAAGTTGCGATTGACGTTTTGAGGGTATGGAAAAATTTGGTAAAATTTGTGTAACGTACTTGTACAATTTGTCAGATTTTTAATAACGTAGTTGCTCGCCTAAAGCTAGCAGATGGTTGGTGACTTTTTAACAGGCTCTTTGGACCAGCCTTAATCGTAAATGTTGCTATCACTTGGAATGACAAAGAAATCAAGATTTAAGCAATCAAATTACATTCTTGTAACATGACGTAATCGCAATGAAAGATACAATTACACCTTTATACTATATATAGCTTTATACTATATACTTTATATTATATTATAGTGGGTAAAAAAAGTATTCTCACACCTTTTGAAACTCAATAACATTTTTTAAAACTGCGCTAAATGAGGCGAATTTTTTTTTTGATGATAGAGGGGCTAGTACACTAGACAATGATTAGAGCATGTTTTTTTATTTAATCCAAGCATTAATTTAATTTATTTAATTAAAATTTAACTAATTGATAATAATAAGCAATAATATAATAAACGGAATAATAAATTAATTTAATTAAAATTTAATTAAAGCATTACTTGGAATGACAGGAAAAAATAGAAAACTCTTGTTTTTTTTATCCGAGTCTATAACAAAAATTTAAAAAATCCCTCGTAGATCCCAGTAACTTTTGTTTAGTAAGTTTTGAAAAAGTGAAGACTAGAAAGTTAAAAGGTGTACACTTTTGTAGGTCACTGTATGTACATGCCGATACAAAAATGCATATATGTGCATATATATCCTAAGCAAACTATTTCCTAAAAATGAATGAAATGTCATTTTCCAAGATGCATACACAAGTCACTTATTTTTAACAATCTGTCATTAGTAGTTTTTAGTTACTCCTTCAAAATTCATTCCAATCATCTTCGAACGCTCAAAAAGAAACATATTAAAAGCGATGCGACAATTCCTAGATAATTCCTCGATGTACTCTGAACGTCGACTGGTTTATCAACAAACAGTTCAGATAAAGCGAACAAGTAATACCGTTGACTAATGCAAAGATTGTTTCACCGTGAAGAGGGTCCAATGGAACGTTAAGGCAACAGCTCATTAGATTGCCGTACTGGAACGATAACGACCCGGCACGTTGGGAAACGCAAACAATTATCTCTTTTTTTTCGTAATTCCACGGAGACAGGGTCCGCGCGCGAATCCACGCTGTAAAAAACGAATTCGCCACGAAAGGGACAGCGTTCGCTGGAACACGCGTGCACTCGGTGTGAGCTTTATAAAGCTTCCAAAGGGGTCAAGGATGTCCGTGGAATAAAGAAATTCTTGACGTGTTACCGCCGGCATTGTTCGACACCCTGGAATCTTCGTTCCATGAAAAAAAAAAAAAAAAAAACGAACAAGACGTCGAGAGTTCACTGCGTGTCGCATACAATAAGGGTGGACTTTTTTAAATTCCCCGCTGCTATAAATACTGGTGTCAATAAGTAACGCGAGACCGTATTAATAAACTTCTCGAACAAGTGATTTCAAGGTTCTTGGGTCGACCGTGCGCGGCTTATAACGATGCCTATCGATTATAGACCAGGTGGTGGGTACACGTGGCAATGCGGAACTGTTGTTCCAGAAGAAAGGGGACGTGTCAAGATATCTTCATGGGTTACGCACATCGTTACTCGCCCAAGAACGTCCACGGGGTACCCGCACGTTTCGCCGTAATGGCATAGCCAAAACATTCGTTGCATTTTCCCTCGCGAGTAAAAGTAAGTAAAAAAGTAAGTAAAAAAATCTAGTAAGTAAAAATAATAATAGTAAAATAAAAAATAAAAAATAGTAATAATTCTAGTAAGTAAAAAAATCGAACCGTGCGAAGAACGCGTGCAATATAAAATATTTATTCTACTTTCGTATTGTCAGTTGCTATTACAACGCCATACACTTTCAGCCGTGTGTCCAAGAACTGTACCGTGAAAAAAAGCTGTTTGTCAAACCGACGCGAATCGTCGAAAGGTCAGAATTGTTTCAAGCGCGATTAGCAGCGTCGCAGTGTATCCGCCGAATTGAATTCGTGCCGGAAAATGTTTCCGTTGTTCTACAGGGTGTCTAAAAAATGTCCCGTAATCTGGAAATGGAGGGTTCCTGAGATCATTTGAAGCAACTTCCTCCTCAGCGAAAACGTAATCCGCGGCTCCGTTTGCGAGTTATCAACGAAAAACAGTGACCAATGAGAGTCGAGCTCGGCCGACTCGCGCCAGCCGAGCCAATGAGCGGAGCTGGGCTTCGCGCGCCCGTCGGCCCGGCCGCCTCGCGTCAACAGAGCTCGCTCCTTATTGGTGGGCGTTTTTTCTTAATAACTCGTGAACGAAGCCGCGGTTTGCATTTTCGCTGAGGAAGAAGTTTCTTCAAATAACCTGTGGAATCCACCATTTCCGGATTGCGAGACATTTTCGGGACACCCTGTAGAAAGTCACCGCCGTAAGAGGCAAAACAACGAAACTCCTATTCGACTTCCACGGTAAAGCAACGCGCTCCGCCGGTAACCAAGCGTCGACGGTGTCGTTCGCTCGGTTTAATTCGACACAACGTTCGTCGACCCGCTTTCGCGGCTAATTAATTCCTCGATAGCCAGCCTGCCGGGTTGTTCGTATTTTCGAGACGACCGTCCGAAAATTAGCCGGCTTTAGGAGTCACGGGAGACGGGCCGATGGTAGATAAAGGCGTGAATCTCTATCACGAGCCCTTGATCTTCTCGTTCCGTTCGGCTAAATACCGTCGAACATGATTAACGAGTGCCCGGAGGAACTTGTTACGCGGTGTCGCTTCGGTTGACGTTTCGCGCGTTCGTTATAAATAATTCATCGCGCCCGGGTTCGGCCGTTGTACGTACGTATGTATGTATGTATGTACTTTGTCCGACGAGCGGCGTTTCTGTTTACCGAGAGCCGTCCGGGAACGCGCAAAAAGGAGGGGTGGGGGGGAGAGGCAGAGAGCCGGGCTCCTGGGAACTTTTCTCCGTCTCGAGCATTATCATAACAATCCGGCGGGACTCGATTTCGCAGGGAAATTAATACGAGAATCATCGCGTTCGAAAACGCCGGCGATAACGCGTCGCCGGAAGCGCTGGCAGCAGTTTCGCGTTTGAACGTATAATTAGCCGCAAAGATCGCCCGCCGCACGGCGAAATCTCTTCTCGTTGATCGCGGCTGACTCTGAATAGTTAACGCTTTCGCCTTTCGCGGCGGATAGACACGGCCGGCGCCGCCGCCGCCGACGACGACGACAGCGCTGCAAACACGGCCCGGTTAAAAATTCCATCATGGAAGTCTTTGACAGGTGGCCGGGGTAGCACGGACAGAGAGAGAAGCAAACACGCCGTAACATCTGTCTTTTCGAACGGCGGTGAAATTTTTGTAACCGTTCCAAACGTTCGCCGAGGAATATTCCTGCTCGGATTCCGAGCGAATAATCTGGCTGCGATTCGTCCCGGACGCCGATCGCGCGCGTTCGAGTTTTTCGTTGGCCGGCTGCGTATCCTGCGGACGTCAGTCACTGGCGCGGGCACTCTCGGGGCGGAGAGGGGGGGGGGCGGCGGGCGGTGGGTTCTCGAGGCTTATGACAAAACTTTCGCCGCACTGCGGATCCTATTGATTTTCCTCGGAACGCTAGGCTGCCGAGCTCACTGCTCCCGTCCGCGGCCGCGGTGTAAATAAACAAGGGAACTTAAACGCCAAAACCGTTCGAACACCTCCGCCGTTTTATTCGCGATCTTAAACTCGACGTCGCTTAATCGTCGCGCCGCCGTTGTCTCCTCCGATCGGTATTTCGGACGGACTGTCCCGCGGACATTGATTCCTGCGTCGCAGACCGGGAGGAGGGCACCGGTCGGCCGAGAGTTTCGTTTCAAAAATTACAGTTAGACCGTAAGAGAGAAGCAACGACGCGGCCGGAGCCTCGCGTTTGACCTTGCTCCCGAGCGAAACACAGCGAACGACCGCGTCGTCGCGCACACGGTCCGGGCACACGGATAATCAAAACAAGCTCGTAAACCCGAATTCGCGTGCCGTAAAACGCGAAGAAGGAAGCGCGAACGGTTCGCAGAGACAACCGACGTGAAACCACCCTCCTCTCGCCGTGGATACGGAACGGTCGCATGTTTGCGTCGGAGTTTTCATTGCGCAACCGGCCGTTTCGCAATATGACGCCTTTTCCTTCTGGGAACCGTGTCGGGCCCGCGGCCGTCCGTCTCTCGGCGACGCAATTAATTTCCAATTAAGAGAGAACGGAGGGCGAACCGATTGCCCCTAGGATCGAAGCCGCCGAGCGGAAGGAGAGGAGAGGCAGGAGCAGCGGTTGGTCAAGGCCGCGACCCCGGTAATCGTGTAAAAGAATTAAGAAACCGGAGGGCAGGAAGCCGGAAGTGGGGTGGCCAGGCAAGATAGCCACCCCGTGCTACATCGATCGCGGGGGTCGGAGGCGGCCAGAGGAGGAACCCTCTCGGGCCTGCTATAGCCCCGAAGGACTCTCGCTGGTTCGTTCCGTGGTGACGTACCTTCGTTCGACGGATGCGACGTCTCGTCGAAGACCTCCCTGCAGACGATCGTGGCGGCGCTGTCCTGGGATATGCTCATACTAGCTTGTACGAGGAACAGCCGGGTCCCTGTCGCAGGACGTTCACATAACAAGGTTCACCGTAACGCGCCAGCACATTATAGCGTTCGCATGGGCCTTGATGCCCGTTACCGTCATAGTCCGTCACGATCGGCGACGCGTGCACGCGAGACAGGTTTCGCCCCGGCGACGAGGCCCGTCCGACGACGGTCAATGTTGAATTCGACTTGAACGTAGGCGGCGGTAAGAGAAAAGACAGACAGAGACGGAGCGAGGGAGACGCGCAGCGCCCCCGGTAGCCTGACCCCGAACTAGGCCAATGATAAGGAAAGCGAGCGGCACAGCCGCCGGCAACTGTCTTATCGATTAATCGAGAGGCCGCCGAGTGCTCGCCGAACTAGCGCGCGCAAAATCTACGACGGATTACTGCACGCATTTCTTTCCCCCCGGGAATCTTCGCTCGCTCTCGATTTAACGATCACCGCGGCCGATCTAGGCGGATCTTGCGAGGTCGATGGGCTCGGGATTCCGTAGAGTTGATTATTGATCGGATATTGTAGGTTAACTGTGAGTTGTGATGGTATAATAATTATTTAGTATTTTCTTTTGAATTGTAATCGCTTGCGGATTTCTTTGCAATAATTAATAATAAATTAGGTTAAGGTGGAGTCCAATATTCATAATGGGATAGTGACGGTATCTTCTAAAGCGATGCTATCTTCTTGATTTATGATTATAATTATAATATTTTATTTTGTTTTATTGTGTAATTTTTATTTTATTATACAGAGTAACGCTGAACGCGAAACACACGTGCGAGAGTTAACGAGCTTCCACCGGGTTGGAATGTTTGTATCGGTTTGGAATTTTAATTCCATAGCGAAGAAATGTAAAACGCGCATTTTCCCCTGTTTTCTGACGTGTCGGTTATTGCGTATAAATATAATATAATTGTTTTATTATTATGATTGGAATGTCCACGCTCTCTGTTATATTCTTACCGAGTGGTTGTCTTATGAAACTGTATTCGACCTAGTTTTGGGTACGTTTACATCTTTACTGTAATGGTAATGCGTATTTGTAACAAATGAATTTCCACGTCGCCGTTATTCTACGAATTCAATCGATTGTTACAACAGAACTGTTTTTAAGGTTTGCATACCGACTGACATTGGTAATAATACTTTTATCACAGTGGACAACAATTTTGTGACTGCTACGACTTATTATCGATGACTGAGTGATTTTACATTTTGTGTTCATATTTTTTAAAGTAATGACAATTTTGCAGGAAACTTTTATCGTCTGTAGTCAAGGAAGGGATCTGTTCTTCGAAAAATTGAAATTACAGAAAATATTGTAGTGTTTTTAGAGGAATTTAATCGATTTTTCTATGACAGTTAAAATTTAATTAAACAATTTCAGCTGAATTTGTTGCGATATTTCCACGATTGCTACGCTTGTGGGCACGAAGTGTGTTAGGATCTTCGTTTAGGTTCGATCACAGCGCCGCTCTACCGCATTCGAATCGCATGGTGACATTTCAAGGGAATTAGTGCAGTTTCCTACACTATCGACGGTTCTAGGGAATTTACATCGGAAGATGGACAATAATATTTTTACTAAACGTTCCTAAAATATAATTGATTCGACAGAAAGAATTATGTCAAGAGGAATTTTTCAATGAATATTTGATACAAACGTTGATATTTTACGCATATCAAGTGCAAGAACATCGAAACTAGCGTGCATACATTTGCTTATTCCCAGCAGAGATGGCGCCATTATGCAGACATAATCATTCTCGGCGTTAATCTCGTTTGCAATAAACTACTGGCACCGTGGCTAAATTATTTTATTGCTAAATGTAGAAACGACGTAGATTACTGTGCCCAGTAATCACCTTCATTCAATAAAATTTAAAGCGTTCAATTATTCACGTTTATTTTGCACATGACGGAAATGGCTAAAGTGTTTTGCAACGCGCGAAGTAAATTAGTTTCTATTAATGGTGATGCTTTCCACTGGCAGCGTGATAAAAAATGTAAATATTAACATCATAATGCGGTAATATGCTTCAAGAGGATGCATTATGAAACGCGCGAAAAGATTTCGCTTTTATTCGTACTTCTCAGTAATTAAACTTTACCGAATTTTCCATGAAATATTATTTAACGACCCGTTTGCACGATTTTACTGCAAATTCCTCTATTGGTAGTTCAATATTTAATTACTATACCGCAATTTTTTATAAAAAATAAAAATTGTTTCTATCAATTTTAAAAATTCTAGGGCAAACAGATATTTCATTGTAGTATTCTAGTGATTTTAATATATATATAGAGTGATAATGGTAAATCGACATTCTTAATTTCTTCTAATCTTTTTATTGTCTTGCAGTTCGCTCATATATCTTAATTACAACTTGTTATTAAATTACAATAAATTATGGAATAAACTGCGCTCTAAAATTTCATTCTCTGTTACAAATAAATAGGATTGTCTTTTAGCCGATATTTTACTGTACTATGCTCCAATCTTCGAATTCTTACGAACATAATCTGACTCTATTATGAATCAGGATAATGATACTTGTTATCAATTGAAAGACCCGAATAAAACGTCAATGTTTCTGGGTATTGTTATTCCAAGGTACAAACCAAGGTACAGCCATATCAAGTAAAAGCTCTTCAAAACACAAACATAAACCAAACCTTTCTTATCAATTATTATAACATTTATGTTATATTAGGTCAATTGATCATGAATAATATTTAAGATCCAGCTATTTCCGTAAACAAAAACATTTACACTATTATTAGTACAAGTAATTTCGTCGCTGCTCCAAATTCCGATGCGATCAACTAGAAGAAAAAAGACAAGAAAAAGACAAGAAACATCGACGGAATTATTATTTCGGAAAAAGGATCGATCCGACGATTTGTTTTCGAACGCGGAACGCTTCCTCGCGCTCTCGTCGCCACCGAATATAGCGGAATTGGTCGCGTCGCGGAATAAAATAGGGAGCGACAGAATCGTGAATTTTTCAAGCCGCGGATCGTTTCCGGAAAATCCTTAGGAGTGCTATCGACTGTTCCGCGTCTTTCGAATTCGGTTCGCCGGAGGATTCGTATTTACAAGAACTTGACTCCCCTGGCGGGCGCGGTACCAGTTACCGGTCGCGATCCCACCGATACACCGAGGAATAATGATCGGGCATCGATTGGGACATTTAAATTTCACGTTCTATAGAAAACAACGAGAGGACCGCCGAATAACGGCGTTAACGTTAACGACGCCAGGATCCCGGGGAGCCGTTTCGTCGAACTCGAAAATTAAATGATAATGATATCCTACGCCGACGCCCCGCGAAATACTTGCGGCCTTCGAGCCCGGAACATTTATTTCTTTCTTCGTCTCTCTCTCTCTCTCTCTCTCTCTCTCTCTCTCACATACTCAGATACTCACTCACTCATTCTCTCTCTCTCTCGTTTCTTTTTCTCTTTTTTCCATGCTTCCGTCTTTTTCTCGTCACGTCACCGGGGCACAGCCCGTCTCTGTTCCCCCATCGTTCCGGGGGAGAACCGTGCGTTTTTTGTTCTGTAAAAATCCTCGTTAACTCGAATCACGATTCCCGCGTATTATACGGAGCTGCACGGGTGCCGGCTTTCCACTCTTTTTCCCCGGCAGCTAAATAAATCGTTAGAGAGGTGGCTCGGTGGCCGAGCGCGGGCTAATGGCGTTCCACTTATTATTCTTCCTCGTTGTTCCCGGTGAATCGCAAGCTCAATCAACCCTCGAATACGCGGGAACTATCGCCGATGACACCTTAATTGACGAGCTTCCGTGATACAGGCCGACGAACGCTGCCCGCCGACAAGGATTCCACACGGCCACAGACAAAATGGCTGAAACATCCGGCGAGACCGCCGGGGAAACGTTCCTCCGGCATCCACTCGAAACCGAGTGGACTCGAATTCATCTAGGTCTGACAATTATGTTTCTACGGGCTCGAGGAATTTCCCGAGGAAATTTGTTGACACGTTTTCGTTGCCGAACCGTTGCCCTGAAAAATTCAACGAAATCGAGGGCAGTTTAGCTGACGATATCGAAACTGCGGTGGCGATGATTGCTAATTTAACGCTGAATTTGGACCCGAATTGAGTCTAATTTACGAGACATATTCAATTGATTATGATAATAATAATAATTTAAATGTTGGTCCTTTTCAATATACTTAGCTGGAAAGAACTCGGTGCAGTATTCATGGTCGAATAAAAAAAAAAACAAAAAAAAACGATGCGAATTATGCAGTAAACGCAATGTTTCCATAATTGACAATGTTTGTAAATATTATTTTGGACGGAGATACCTGCGGTGTGTAAAAGAATAGACGACAACTAAATCCTTTACAAAAAAAGAATAAACTTTAAAGTCGTTTTTCTCAAAAAACGGAGCCCCGGTTTGAAAAATGTTGTATCAAATTTTACTTTTATTCCGAATACGATGAATTCTTTACGAATTCCGGCACACCCTGTGTAGCAGTTCAATTAACCAGTTATGGTAATATTTTAGGTTATGATTAGTGTGCTCGACAGGAGTAAAAGTTTGTCGCTCAAATTGCAATTTTAGTGAAAACTAAAGTATAGTCGTAAATTTTAAGGTGTTTTGAATGTTTGGAGGCTAAGGCAAAATAAAATGGACAAATAAAAAGATATAAATAATTGTTATGAAAGAACTGTGATTAAGTAGTATACTCGTTATTGCTTACTTCTTGCAATTCCTTTTTGAGTGTACACTTTTCAATGAGATTGCAGCAGCTAACTGGTTAAAGTTATTTTATAAATATGGCAACCCTCTTCTACATAAAAATGAAAATTTCAAGACCGACGAAAAGTCGATCGACGCGACATTAATTAAATTACAAAACATTAATTAATTAAATTAACACTTTGAAGTAACATCTGGAAGTCAGACAATGAAGTATCACGCTATTTACAGTTCTTAAAAATATCATTTTTAAATTGAAAATAAAGAAATGTAAAAGTAGAGGCTGAGAGATTATGTCGGCAGACAGATTCATTTTTTATGATGAAATTGAAACGTTGAAATGAACTTCGAACTCAGTATATTTTAATTGCGTCATTACGATTGAACTTTTATACTGAATTATTGCAAAAATAGATTTTGAGCACTACTCTGCAACAAAACTGGATAATTGATGAATCAAAAGCAAATGTCCTGA